CCAGTCCAGACGTTTAGAACGATGGGCGGAACATTTCAGAGAACAGTTCAACTGGCCTTCAGCTACCCTACAACTACCCTCCATTCCCAGACAATGTGAATGGAACATTGAAGTAGGTCCCCCAACTCTTGCTGAAGTTCAAAAGGCTATAGTTAATCTGAAACGAGGGAGGGCAGCTGGTCCAAATGGACTGGCTCCAGAGGTCTTTAAGGATGGTGGTCCAATTTTAGCGATTAGGTTGACTAATATTTTAGCTAGGATCTGGGAGTTAGACGTTATCCCATCTGACTGGTCACAATCACTTATCGTCCCAATATACAAGAAAGGGTCAAAATCATCCTGTGACAACCATAGAGGGATTAGTTTAACTAATATAATATCTAAAATACTAGCCTCGATAATTATCAGACGCCTAACTAAGACTCGTGAACTGCAAACACGGGAGACTCAAGCTGGCTTCAGACCTGGTCGTGACTGCATCGACCACATATTCACCATTCGTCAGATTCTAGAACACAGGCATACTTATCGGCGTCCGACAATGGTGGTCTTTCTCGACTTAAAAGCAGCATTTGACTCGGTAGACCGCGAGATTCTGTGGCAGTGTCTGTCATTGAAAGGCGTACCTCAGAAGTACATAAACCTTGTAAAGGCTCTTTACTCGAACACTACTAGTCGAGTCAGGGCTTATGGCGAACTGTCATCTACTTTTGCAACCTCAAGTGGTGTCCGTCAAGACTGTCCACTTTCCCCATTTTTGTTTAACCTCATCATAGATCTACTGATAGAAATAACTTTCTCGTCGACTGAGTTCTCGGGTATTGATCTCCTTCCAGGAGGTCCACTTATCGACTTAGAATACGCAGATGACATAGTCCTGTTCGGTGAAGACGCTGACAAAATGCATAGTCTTCTGGTAGCACTGAGCAACAATGCCAGAATGTTTGGAATGCGCTTCTCTCCCTCTAAGTGCAAGTTGTTGCTTCAGGACTGGTCTGCGTCAACACCTGAACTAAGGATAGGGAGTGAAGTAGTCGAACGCGTTGACAACTTCACTTACCTTGGAAGTCTGATCAGCCCTAATGGGTTGGTGTCTGACGAAATCTCAGCACGGATTCGAAAAGCTCGTTTGGCTTTTGCCAACTTACGTCACCTGTGGCGAAGGCGAGATATCCGTCTATCAATAAAAGGACGAGTATACTGCGCGGCAGTCCGTTCTGTTTTAATTTACGGCAGCGAAACATGGCCAATAAGAGTAGAAGACACTCGTAAGCTACTAGTATTTGACCACAGATGCCTCAGAAATATTGCTGGCGTCTGCTGCGATAGTGAGGTTAGACGCAGGGTATCAGGTAATGATGGTAAATCAGTTGATGAGGTTATGAATCTTCATCGACTGAGATGGTTGAGCCACGTGTTACGTATGCCCGAACACCAATTACCACGACGTGCAATGCTATCCGGTATTGCAGATGGTTGGAAGAAAGTTAGGGGCGGCCAAACCAAAACGTGGCATCAGTGCTTGAAGTCACTAACTTCTAGTCTGAGCCATGTTGGTAGATGCAGACTACTTGGTTGGGGTCCGCGTGACTATCGTAACCAATGATTGGAGACTCTTGGTGACATGGCTCAGAATCGATCACAATGGCGTCGGTGTATACACTCTTTGTCTTCCCTTAAACTAAGAGATTAAAATCGCTTCATATCTTTCTTTCTACGAACCAATTTTTTCTTCTTGTACTATATCTCTATATGCAATCTTTCTCTTATATATTACCACCTTTGACCTAATCACTGCTATGAATCCGGTGTTCATCTTGTTGTGCTGATGCGGTATGGCAACCTGGACCGATGCACATATGTGCCTGGTCCTACGTTGTAGCTGACTGACTGATATTTTGGATGAAATGAAATAAATTGATAAATGTCAAGTGAAAAAGAACTCATTTCAGTCCTTAATGAAAATTATTTTCATATCTAATAAAATCTTTATAAACTGTCTAGAGAAACGTGTACGTTTATTCTGAGTGAATTTTATTGTATAAACATTCTTTATTATTGTGAAAAAATAAACTCAAAATACTAAACTGTCATATATATAAAGTGTGTTTATTTTGACATTATGCGTAATACCTCCTTTATTGAGGTAGGATACAGCTGATGGGAAAGTGGTCGAATGAAATTATTTTATTTAATTCCATAGACCCTGTTCTAATTGGGTTGTTTGAGTTGATTAATGAAACAAAGCGAATCCTACATAATTGTTGGATTTGATCTAAACTTATCTAATGTTTAACTTTGTATATATTAAGATACTAATATTATAATTTATAAGCGTGTATTTTATAACGATAGTAAAAAATTCATCTTGCAAAGTCCAAGCTATTTTATCCCTTGATCTCGGTGTTTTACAATCAGGAGTTTTTTACGATAATTATCTGTTTCTAAACGTTCAACAAGCATAACAAGCTTAAATCTAAAGCCTATGTAGTACATTTTTTAACGGCACCTGCTATGAGGAAAATCTAATTACCTCAACAAAAATATATGTATTGATCAATAAAATATTCCAAATGTCAAGTTATTTGACTGAGATGAAGATAAGCGATAATAAATTAAGCATTTTCAGACTATACATTCGTAATATACGTTGTAAATTAAATGTCCAGATCACCTGTACAATTCCTGAATGAAATAGAATATCTTTTAACAACTGTAAATAGTGTATTTGGTATTTCCGTTTGAATCCCAATCTACTCTGCAGAGCATTTGACTGTTCTTCACTTCGACAAATCATAAATAAATAAAAGGTTTGGTATTGTCAATCTTTTCAAATATAGGATGGATCTATCAATCATTCTGTTGAGACGGCTTCGAAAAGCACAATGGAGCCTCCAGCGGCTCTTAAGGAGCCAAAGTGACCCCATCCAATCAGAACCTGATAGGGCCTCCTATAATGCTAATGTTGCATGCTACGATTGTACGGTGACATAACTTGCCTCTTTGAGGATTGACTGGATAACGATAATGTCATCGCCAATAACTATAAATACCCATGTTTTTCTGGACATTTTTGATTCTTATCCAATAATCTCGTTCGAGTGCCATAGTTGTACATCCTATTCTGCCGTAATCAAGTAGAGGACGTAACACTGGCGACAAGATGTACCAATGATAATGCCAGTCACTCTTGAAGAAGTAGAATCTTTACTTGAACGTTAGGAAAAACGGCATGAATAGTTCCAAGTTCGTATCCTGGAAATCTTAACGCAACGAATTAATCTGAATCACAGAGGACTTACTGATGTTTCATGTGACTCACATACCAATTTCATCATAAATTCTATTCATGAATTTCATTACGATGGTTTGGGTGGTATCACATTCGAATCCTGATTCAAAAAATGTGAAAATTTGTCCAAGGTAGGCCAACAGACTTGGTGACACTTCCAAGGTCAGAATACTCCTTGGAAAATTTGGCACGGTTGAACACGAACGTGATTTCATCCTTCTAAATGACCCGAGAGATTCTTCCGATGCAACAATTGACACCCTGTCTCAAATCTTTGCTGAACAGTCATCTTTGTTTATTATCCGTTTTATGTGTCTCAAGATAACAAGAGTCGATGATGACGACTGGGTGAAACACGTAGATTTAGCGAACCGCAAATGAGAGCGGTTTAAACTACCAGCAATGACGGAAGATCAGTTTAAATATTTGTGTTTTGTATGATGTCTCCAGTCTTCTGAGGACGCTGATATCAGAACCAGGATTTTGAGTAAAATTGAACAATGCCCGAACGTAAAGCCATAAGAAATAACCACAGAATGCCAGAGATTGGTAGACTTGAAACGCGATACTTTCATGGTTGAAAACAATGGCCGGCCACCACACGTCCATACTGTAAGCATGGAGTTATCATTCCGCCAAATCGCCAAACCGTCACTTTGAAGGAGAACTTTTGCAGAGTTTTCGTCGACGTGACTCACTGATGGTTGTCAACTCATGCGTTATGTTCTGTGATCGAATTGTTATTCCAGAATTACTGAGTCACAAGGTTTTCAAGCAATTTCACTCCGAGATCAATGAGATGAAATCATAGGCTCGAAGTTATGCTTGTTGATTCTCAATGGACAGAAATATCGAAAACAAGTTCCGTAACTGTTCGTTATGTCTGCAAGTTGCTGAAAACCCTTCTAAATGAGAACCACAGCAGCGGCCTTAGCCTACTAGTCCCTGAGAGAGAATCCACGCAGATTTCACTGGTCTAGTACAAGGAAAATGCTTCTAAAAACGTTTTGTTATGATCAGTATTAACTAAGCCTCTCTCCACAGCTATAAACGGGGAATATTCATTAAATGTCTTTTTTTATACTAAATCATGTAAGAAAGAATCAAGACATATGGTTTACTGGAAATCAGAATATAGTTTCGATGGTCGGATAAAAATTTGGGTCATACGAAACTGCTAACGGAGAAAGAATTAGCTATTAGCTTCGACTGCTATGGTACAAGAATATAAAAGATAACCACTAGACGAGAGGTACAAATTTGCTTGTAAAGTGAATTTCAACAGATGTTATAGGTCCATAGCTTTAATTATTTCCTACAGAAGACCGATAGCTGATTCAACATGTAACTCGACCTAATAACCTTCACTACTTAGTAAAAACGTGTGAGAGGTTGATCGAACTTTTTGACTAGTTTATTATTTCAGTTTTATTGTTCTTCGTACCAAACCTTTTGCCGAAACTGGTTGAGTTAAGGCATTATTACCTTCAATTTTTCTGAGGTCATACGTATCGTAAACCAACGGATATCAATGAAATTCAGTGAATATAAGAATAATAGTTCAACTACCAAATAAACATCACTCTTCTTCAAATAGCGTGAATACTGATGGTAATTCATAATTTCTTTTCGGTCGAAAAACTGACTAAAATTTTTAATACTTCTAATATATTAAATATTATTGGTCAAATGTGAACTGTTTACTTACCCCACTGGCTACACTTAGATTCGTGCGGCTTTCAGCTTCAGAATCCAAATTTGTTTGGTGTGTTATAGGTATTTTACCAGGTGTCAAATCTGTATATGAGGAATTGAGTTTTTTCTCCATTAATGATGCAGTGTCACTACCTAAAGATGGACTGTAACATTCTGATGAACTGAATCCAGGATTCTGCTTATGAAGCTTAGCTTCTTTAGACATATTTATTTGATTCAACTGTGGAGTAGATGACTGTAAGAAGAATACGGTTCTTAATTATTGTTAATATGCCAAAGTTCATTATATCATATAAATATAAACATAAAATGCAGAAAAAGTAAAAACTGTTACTGTCTGTCATGAAATAATATTTTTGTCTTTGCTTCTAAGCTGAAACACCTTTATATTTTATTGCTAAGTAATTACTTATATCTAGGAAAATAAGAGTTAGCAGATTGACGTTCACCTGTTCTGCAACTATAAAATCAGTTTAATTAGCAATTGATTTTTGTCACTATTTATGCATGCCTTGATCATCAATTTAATTGGTTTTTTATACTAACATAATGGGTGAAAATGAGTGAATAAACTAATTATAGATTATCTTCGTAACTTAGACTAGAGATTTTTGGAGTAACTGTCGGTCTCAGTCTTATGTAAAGGAGGAGGGTTGAGCGTTGTGTTAGCAACTTCACTTCGTAAAAAATAACTAAAATACGCCAATCAGAATGAACCAGTTAATTCATTTGAACACCGCTCCGAGAGTTGAAGGATTTTTATATAGAAGAGCTATGATACCTCATGATGAAATCCGATATTCTTGGGAACCCACGAGGTCGATGTTCCTTCTGACTCTCAGAGCGAAAATTCATATAGGAACCTAGCAATGATGTAAGTGAATATTAAAAAGACCAGTTTTATAAGAGGTTGTGGTCTATCCTAGAGAAGTGCCCAGGAAAATATCTAACCATTCTTATACGAGATCTAAACACCAAGGTTGGAATGACTAACACTGGGTGTGAAGACATCATGTAACGATATGGACTGGGAGAAAGGAATAAGAATAGTGAGAAACTGGCAAATCTATTTGCTTTACACAACATGGTTATATGTGGTGTCATTTTCCGATACAAGTACATACACGGAGCTTTATGGGTCTTACCGGAACAAACTACGGAGAACTAGATTTATCACACCTGTTTCAGTAAGTCTTCAGGAGCTTCATGAAAAGCCTAAGAACAGGAAAAGGAGCTGATATCGCTTTAGATAGTCAACCATCGGGGGCTTGAAAATGTAACTACCAAAGCTTTGAACAATTGGACAACAGATACTACAAAGTTTGATGCAGCATCCCTTTGAAAAGTTAACAAAATTAGCGGATGTAACATAACTCTCATCAACAAATTTCAAACCTTATTATGTCTAACAGGTGAAGACGAAACCACTATGGGAAGCAACTGGAAAGGGGTCAAAGAAATAAAAACTTTAAAATCCAAGGAGGCGCTCTGACAAGTACTAGCATAAAGAACATATCTCTATCGACAGTGAGGATAGGGTTCAAGAAAGAAAAAACGAGAAGACAGCAGTCAACAATAACTGAGCATGAGCAGAGAAAGCCATGTCATGGGCCTAATTTACAGAGGCAAATAAACGGGTAAAATAAAAATCATTAGATCTGAGGAGCGGAAATCTGTAAAACATCTGAAAACTACAGGACTAAAGGCTACAAGAAAAGGAAATAGCAATAATCAAGGAGCTTTCAGGAAAATAAAGTGAACCATAGCAACCAGTCAGGAACGAACAATTTAAACTAATCACTGAGGTTCAAGAGCAACGGAGAAGATGGGTAAGATACTTTAAAGAGCTTTTGAATAGACCAGCCCCACTGAAACCAATGGATATGAAAGCAGCACATACAGATCTACCCATTCATCATACCTCACCAAAAATAAAGGAAAACAGCATAGCCATCTGGCGAATTAAGGGTGATAAACCAGAAAGCATACCAGCTGAAGTGCCGACTTCAGATACAGAAGTAGTTGCAAAGATATTACACGTTCTCTTTAGAAAGATTAAGGAGAAGGAATGAGTACTAATGAATTGAATAGAAGGATAACTAATCAGCGTACCAAAGAAGGGAGACTTCAGTAATTACGGCAAGTACAAAGGGATCATACTACTATCAGTATGAGGCAGTTTTCAACAGAGTATTAATAAACCGAATGAAGGATTCCGCAGATGTCCAACTTTGATATCAACAATCTGCATTTCGTAAGGACAAATAATGTGCCGACTGAATCGCCACTGTAAATAATTTTGTGTATCTGTGTTTGATAAAAAATTCTTTAACCGATTCAATGTATTGGAATTCTACGGATGTTTTTTAAAGTTATATGCTGCGTGGAAAACCCATATAAACCTTAAGAGGAACAACCACTATATTGTAGTTGGGATAGGGTTGTTTAGTTGATATCACTTGCGATGAAAATTGTCTTTAAATAGTTATTAACATCATTAGCAGTGTAGTGAACGTGAACATACAAGTGGGGACAATCAAATGTATTTGAACACAAAATTACAGAATCTCTTAGTAAAATCTGAGAACCATACAGTAAATACTTTGTTTACAAAATGTCAGTTAATTGTCTCAGACTTGATTGTTTCTTCGTCCACACACAAATCATTCTCTATCCTCGATCTCTTTACTTCGATCTTCTTAACCTTGTGCTGCTAGGCATTTCACTTTCGATTAATGATACATACTACTTATATCTGTCGACATCAGTAACACACACCACAGAAGGAGTAAGAATAGTGGGGAGATACTTAAGTTTTCTATTACTTGATAAAAAAACAAAGCTACATACTGAATAGTGAACGGGATTTCTGGAGCATTCAGTTGGGTCTGATTGGTTACTTTTAACAATAACCAATATTTTAACTGAATATAATTCAGGAAATAAGAAGTCAGTTAACAATGACTTATTACGACAAAATAACATGCAAAATCAGATCGACATATCTAAATGATTTCATACGTCTACAAAAGTATTCAATAAAAATAACACACATACGTGATGTCTATCAACCGTTGGATCAGTTTCATCGTCAATCCATGAATGAGTTCTTTGTGGAACATAACCACTATCAACCAGTGACTGGGAATTCTTCAAGTTTGAATGTTATAATACAAAAAGAGTGTATGGTCAGTTAGTCAAGTTATACTCATGTAATTATATTGGGAGTGATATGAGCAACAACTGCCAATCTAAGCAGCTAAACATGAGTTACTAAAAGGAGAGTGTAATTTAATATCTAAATTAACTGAAAATATTTTTACCAGAATTTTTGAATCCACCCTTATTGTTTCGTTTTTACTATCATACTACTTAAATGTTTCACTTCTCTCTAAACTTTTAAATAATGTATTTATTTGTCTTCGATTATTTTTAGCAGTAGATTTTGCGCTATTTTGTGATGACTATCAAACTTGACCTACGCAAAAGTTATGAGGACAATTAAGATCGTATAGCGAATCTATCTAAAGACACTTAAGAATCGGAAGATGCATATGTTAACTTTAAAAAAAAACGTAAATCCATCAACATGGTTTCTTATATCATTTGAAAAAGTGACTTATTGTGACAGCTGAATTTGAGTTCAGATGCAAAACATGTGTTTATGGAATACCATGCCATAGAAATCCACAAAATATTCTCTACAATTTAATCAAGGAAAAAAAATCCTATACGATTATTCCATATTTTAAAGTTCAATATTCTTTTTTTAACCTAACAAATATATTCTATAAATTCCACTCAATATATTCTTTAATGATCCCCAACAAAATATCCAATTTTATGATCGGAGCTGATGAACAGTAATTCTGAAGAATATCCTCAATAAAGATTGTTTGAATCCATTCAAAATTTAGTCGTTCTAAAGAACCACTAAACATTTACATCTAACGTGCATTCTGGGTACAGCTTCTAGTTTTACCGAATTTTATTGTAAATTCTCATTGGAACCTGCTTATTTTAGGAATAGTTACTAAAGGAATACAAAATTCAAGATCACCAAAAGGTCACGTAAGTTCAACAGTACAGTTTGCTCAATAAAAGGTTATTTGATAAATTCCTCAATCTATTGTCAGTAGCCTTAAAAAGCGATTTCCAACACACAAGGAAGACTTTCTACCAAAGCTCCTTATATTTACTCATATTCCAATGCTATCATACACTTTTGTTTTGAAGTGTAAACTTGATTTGAATGGGGTTTATTTACCTACGAATCCGTTCAACTCTTATAATCAATTGTTTGTATGACAAAGAGAGGTTTAAAGTTCTTAAAGGAACTAACCAATAAGATAACTCTTTTTATTATTAACTTATCACTGTGACCTTAAACGCAAAAATAAGTACAATAAGTAACGACATATATATAATTTAGAAAGTCTATCAATAACCTTAAGAAAATTATGACTTATTACTGTGTTATTAATTTAATTCGCTGATATAAAAGAATTATAACTATAGACCTATCTAGAACAAGTGACTAAACTTACATGAAGAGATTTCGATTGTTTGTCTAATGAATGAAAATAAAACACGATAAATAAACAATGTTATCAAAATTAATCCCGAAATTTCATTTATTCTAATTCCAGCATGAACGAAATAATAAAAATAAGCTTAAATTTTTAGTGTAAAACGCTAATCCATCCACCAAAAATATTTAAATTATCTAATATTGAATAGATTAAAAACAACAATTTGAGTTAAATAACATGAATTCGTCTTAGTTCTTTGCGTTCTCATCAGTCGTTTACAACCTGTAATATTTAAACAGGGACCTTAATCACTAATTGGGTTGAAATTACTTACAGAAATGGGTTTAGTTGAAAGACATTTTCAACATACATCAGTGCAACACATCAAGGATGGCGACAAAGTTAAGATACTAAATAAAACATTGCTGATGTATATCTCATGTGAAAAAAAACATTTTATAGCAAAAGACCAAAGAGTTAGAAACGAGTGATTACTTGGTGAATAGACGCTAACAATAAGTAAGCATAAAATAAGTAAAACTCATTTAGTTGAAATAAGATTACTAATCTAAAAGTTAGTCGAAATAAAAATGCATGACGCAGTAATCAATTTGAAGGAAGAAGTCAACAAGATTTTGTGATGTGATAAAAAAGTGTTTGCGTCAACAAGGCAAAGATTACCAACTACCTCCTTTTTAACACATAAATCAAGTTCCTGACGCCTGATAACTATAGCTTCAGCAAACTTCGAAAGATTGTAGCTTGGTTATTTGTTAATCACCTTGGCAGATTTTAAGGCATTGACCTGATGAACTGTGTTCAAGAGAAGTTTAGTAGTTGTTCTGTTCAAAGTAATTATTCCTCTTGTTCGAAGATGTTTTGAAAAATACTCAAAAAATCTAAGGTATGACCTCCTTCACGTTTAGTGATTGTGGCTACTTTTGGAAATACACGTAAATTCCCAGATATAGTTGTCGGTAACGTGAAAGGGTTGGCTGTCGACTTTTGACAGAATTATTGAAGATGTTTTATACAGGATTAATAATTCGACTGCACGGTGGATTCCAATTAATACGTTGTTAAGCCTCCTGTTCGTTTCCTCAGTGAAGCCATCACCTTTGAATTGGAGATGGACAAATATTGATTTTTTATTGACTCTAGCAACATTTGACTTGTTATCTTTAGCTACTTTACATTTAACATAGAATTTCTGGGCGTAGCAGCAATCTCTTAGGTAGTTTGACAGTTCATCAAATGTTAATCCAGTTGATCAGTATTACCTATCCTTACCTGTCAGTAGTTATTTTCAGGATATGAAACTTAAAAGAAGACTGTAGTTACTACATCCATGTCTTTACATTGATTAGTGTGTAAATGTAAGGTGTCAGTGTGAAATAGTTGTCAAAATAACTGAATCCATTACTTGTAACCTGCAAATAAATAACAAACATCTTAGTTTCTGTGAGATCGGTTAAAGATATTTCACGTACTATGAGCAAATTAGCTAAATCCACAAATTACTGAGTGAATTAATTGAGTCCATTAGTTTGTCATTACATTCCAACTCAGTTATTAACATTACTTTAAGATTAGAGTATAATGGTATCACAACACCACATTTCAAGTAAAATAACATATAAAGGTGCAAAAAGCACAACATGATATGTTTTACTAGCACGTATGTGTATTCCGGATTATTCACAAATACCAACCTATGACTGGATAAATAACAGCAAAAATAACCTATCTAACTTTATTATTAATACAGAACCAAATCAAACTCAGATATCGTTGGGCAGATAAAATGATGTGTAAAAAGTATAAATTCGACGCTAACCTGGTTTCGAACTAGACTGACGTTTTTCCTCTGTTGTGGTAGCTAAAATTAAACAGAAAGTATATTTCGGTAAAATCTACATATTTGAATGATATAGAACACATAGGAATGATGATCAACATCTCAGGCAATACCCAACATCGAATAACTAAATGGATATTAGTGATATACTAAAACAAAGTCAAACATGTAGAAGGCTTTTAAGGCACCAAACACCACAAGCATTTAAAATTATGTCCTACATCCAACATGTTGATCCTGATGATTGACTTCAAGTTGCTCATCCACAGCGTCTTCTGTAGCGTTGTTCTTCGAACAGTTGTCAAAAATTGAATGATCTCTATCACGATTGAGAAATTGGTTATCTTCAGATACTTTATTTGGCTCTTCATTAACTCCATCTTTATGGTAAAATAGAGTCATAGATCTCGACTTATCATTTTTCCCAAAGTTATTTGTTTCGTTTGTATTCCCGAATGAAAAAGTATCGGATAATCTACGATGCTGTTGAACTGGAGAGCAAGATAAATCATAACTGTATGTTTCATTTAAATAAAAGTGGAAAAAATTCATTCATTTTCTCACATTTCACTCTCCATGAACTTTGAAAAAAGTTTGAATCTGTTTCATGGTTCGTAATCTCGCTATATGTCCTATCATTCTTTTCATGGTAGTTCACCGTTGTATTACTGTCATCGTTACCAACTCAACTCAAAAACTCATTATATGAAACTGATAACAAGTGAGATTTAAACAAGAGATTGTTTCTAAACAAACTACTTACACACTGTGTAGCAATAAATAGAGGACTAATATATATATAATGCCTAGATGTTGCCTGAAGAGACTGATCAGTTGCAGTCCTTAATAACAGTAACGGGAAGATTTAAACCCTAAAGAAAAAAATTCTGTTGTACAAGTTAATGGCTATCTGAACTCAGTAATTCAGTAGATAATATATTGAGTGACTGAAGCGAAAAATCCTGAGTTAGAGTTTCAATATGAACACTAACGCTGGGATGCAAGTATACTCAACTAATGAATCCGAAATTGGACGAAATGTGCCTTTTGGATCCCACTCCTAGCCATTATTCAACTTGACTTCATTTATCACCGATTTAATTTTAAAAGAACCCAAGTGGACGGCTCATAAAAGATTATCTACCGAATACCTACTAATCATCTAGTTCTTATGTTGCTCTAGGTAATCCTTAAAGTCTCATACCGATGTATGATCACTAAGTCTAGCTGTTCGATCGTAACTTCACCAATAGAATTCATTTGTATACAAGTGCTAAACAACATGACACTGGTTAATACTCACCGACACATTAGTGGAATGGTTTTGAAATTCGGGCCTTAACTGTCCACAACAATCATTCCTTTGAAATCCAATTCCTGGGTAATATTTTTTTCAAAAACCTGTATTGCAAATGCCATTTACAGATTTCATAAAAACCACTTTTAGTAATTACAGTTATCATCAGTGATCAAATAAAAAGGCGATATTTTGATTTCAGTTTCAAGTTAACTATATGATCAGGGCCGAAATAGCCAGACAGTATTGAAAATTTGTGGTTTGAATCGATCAGACACTTAAAAATTTCACAACAATAGAAAATTATTCTGATAGATTGTATAATACTAGATGGCTTATAGTTACAAAATGAACAAACAATCGATTCTAGAAAACAATAAGTAATTTGTATTATCAATGTACTTTTCAATATATATGCAACTATTATTGATATGATTTCTGTTCGACAATACAGAGAAATGAAAAATACCCTATAAAAGAAATTTAATACTCTCAAACTGAAATTTTCAGATTTGTAGTAATTTAAATGTGATGCTCCGTTTGATGAACAAAAAATAGTGGGTCAACATAGCTTATGGGGCCTGAAAATCTATCTTATCTGTTTTTTTCTTCATGTGAAATGATGACAAATATTCGTAGTTCATGAGGAGGATTTCGGAGGTATTTAGTTCTCTGAGATCGATGGTTTAGTTTTGGAGCTTTCGTTGTCTTTCTAGAACACACAATTAGTACATGATTCAGGAAGTGACCTATCAGGATTTTTATAAACTTCACTAACAAATTGTATTGGTGATCTGGAATGTGATTAGGTGTTGACTAGAAATGCGTTGTAGCAGCAAGTATTCAGCTGATAGGACACAACACCTAAATCTTTGCATCCACTAGTCATTTTCTGAAATAGGCAACCATGTGCTATCACTCGTGAAGCTAGAAATTAGTCTCAGAGATGTTTCAAGTAAAACTTCGATGAGAGTCTTACTTTATTAATTAAATCGATTCATTTATTCTTCTTATTCCTTATTTGCTTTTTCATCAACTTTTGTTCATACTTAACTCATAATTGACGAACGAAAGTTGTCATTTTATATAATTAAATCCTAATGGTAATCTTCCTCAGTGTTTCAATTAATTTCTATGATCAAATGAAGTAATAAGCAGACCATTTCTCTTTCGTCTATCACATATTTGATCCAATTAAAATAAATACCATATTTATGAATCACATAGGAGTGGTTAAAAATGTATCCGATTCTTTTTCTAGAGGTTTTTGATATGACTCATCGAACAAATGTCATTCTGCAAAATATCATTATTATTTTTTGTTACTATTAATTATTATCATTCATAATTACTTACGTAAATAATATAATTCTGTACTCAAATAACATAAATCTTAATTAATTTTTGTTATTTTATTCCCTAACTCATTTGACAGAGGATATTGATTATGATTGGTGTATACCTACTTAGAACTTAATTGAGCATAGCTTATTTTAATGATTAATCATAACACTAAATGCATATTCTAAAGGATTTATTTGTGCGTGAGACTGATTGTTTATTTGTACATATGCTATTAACTCGATACGTGCCAATACATATGATGGCTTTATAAATTATAATACATTTATTTTATGTTGTTCTGAATGAAAGAATGAATGTGTACACAAGCTGATAACTGTAATTATCAGTGTATAGACTGACATCATTTTGAAACAATAATGAGTAGTCAACATTGTTTAGAAGGCCAAATGAACAGGACATAGAAATTCCAGGTGAAAATTTGGCTTAATAATTTCTCAGAACTAATGTGAAGATATTTTTCGTTTTGAACTTTTCTCAGTCGAAAAAGAATACAGAAATGATGTGATTCATGTCTTGTTGTGGAATCGTACATCTTATTAGGAGGAATTCAATTTCACAATGGTAATTACTCGTCATAATAAATCTGGTTGTAAAGAATCGAAGCCGTAAATCTGAGACAAATAAGCTTTTGCTTCTTTTTAATTTATAATGTCAGCTCCTGGTGGAACACATGTCTAAACTAACCAGATTACTGTAGTAAAAAAATACGACTAATTATCCATCTTCGGGTTTCGAAATTACTGATTGACCCTATAAAATCACTAGAAACCAGGATGAACTGAACAACTGTTTCGTTATACAACAGGTCTGCTCGTTATTGAGTGTCCATGACCTCACTGAAGATTAAATCTAAGACCTTCAAGCTTGTCAGAGAGTGCTTAACCTTAAGACCACTGAGTTAACATTAAATGGGTTCTAATTCTAACTTTAGTCAATTCTCTGTTGAGAAGTTTCATACTAAGACCAAACAGCTCAGTGCTTCCTGGTTTGTAGTAGCTGTCGGAATAAGGTCAGTGCATGATGTAGAACTACAAAGTTCGGGGATCTTCACGATTCCCTAAACTAAGAAGTTTACACCTTTTAGTCGGATGGTTTTTTCAGTTTATAGTATGAATTCATGAAATTCTATCTCGATCAGTTCAGTCCAACAATCATGTATGTAGAATCAGGCAACTCTGTACCTGGAAAATTAATGAATCCTTCATCTTATTTAATTTTCAGTGGTTTATTAACATGAATAATTTTTACGTCCTACTACTAAATGTATCTAATCTAAAAACAGATCCAAGTTTGTTTTCGTTTTGCAGAGAATTAGAATACTAGGGTTAATTTTGGTGCAGGTTATTAACAGATGGACATTAGAACATTCTGTTATGTACGAGGATTCCTTACTACTAATAATCAATAAAGCCTAGAGAGAATCAACAATTAAAGTAATGACTTAACCAACAAAGTATCCATTTCTCTTGATCAAAAATAAAAGGTAAACTGGGTTATACTAGAAATAAGCGAAACATATTACCATGAAATTAGACAATATAAGATCTCCTCTCAAATAAGTTTGTCGGTTAGAAAAAGCTTTCGAGTACTAATCAGTTTTGGTTTGTTGTTTAAGTTTTATTTAAATATGTGAAAAATATTACTTTCAAATAAACCAGATTTCTCTATTATTTTCATTTCGATACAAAAAATAAGTGGAACATTATTTTACTGAAAGATTATTCCATCCCAAACAGAACACTTTCTCTTGGGATAGCACTTTTATATTTCTATTGTTTCTTTCAGACAACTTTGAAGAAATAAAAATCACACTGATTTTTTCCAGATTATCATGTGCTGTTTTTACCAAATCATCAATCATCATTTTGAACTGAAACTGAAAATTCATTTGTTTTTATTTAGACAAACGCCAAATATTTTTTCGGCTTACACAGAAAACCACAAATAATAGTAAAATAAAAATGTAAAATTAATTTTAAAAAAAAGCTTAATTGACAGTCATGGAATTCTTTTAAACCTTTGAAACTTTATTATTGAAAGCTAGTAGTATAAAAATTTAAGCATTCGAATAGAAAAATGAGTTATAAACTTTTATGTGGTAACAGACAGACAGAGAAAGAGAGAGAGGACACCACAGCTCTTGGGCGCCGTTCATTTTTCACTTAGAGAGTTATCATTCTTTAAGTATAACTCAATACTACATGCATGAGAAATGACATGAAAAATCGTAAGACTTCAATGTGCAATCGTGAATTCTGATATATATGAATAAGTGTTTAGGACCAAAAATATCGTTGAAATCTAACTAAATAATAGTGTTTATTGTAATTATTTCTACAGGTCACTAAACCTATGCAACTCCCTTTTATGTTAACGAAAAAAGAGTACTAATATTTGACGTACTGACTCACATGATGTGACAGTGCAAATCTAGAAAAGCTCTAGAGCAAGAGGATTTTAAAGTTTTGACGCTGCTAGCATTGATCATTCTCATTTTAAAAACAGATGAGGTGTTCTGGTATTTTAAGAATACTACTAAATCCATTTTGTTCAGCTTCTACAAAATTAGTCATAGTTTTAGAAACTGATCTTTCTGTGTAGAAAAAAGTCCTGCCTCTGAACATACAAATAAGTCACTTAGCACAACTAATTGCAGGAAGTTAGTTGAGTGCAACTGAATGAACATCTTTTTTTGAATTTAGATCTTTCCCATGACCCTAATAATTAGTTTATGCAAGTATTTCACTATATCTGTCTATGAATGTTGTAAGTTAATTTTAAAATAGGATCTATACACGATAAATAAAGGTTGATAAATATAGACGTACTGTGTAAAATTTTTGATGTTTCTTGGCTGATAGATTTCAGCAGTTTATTGCAGGCTTCCGAACTACAAATGAATGACAGCCTTAGCAATCCTAAAATACAACCGCTGAAATAATCATTTCTGATTTTTGAGTCTAAACATTCAGGCTATTTGACACTGTAATACAAAAAGATGTTTTCTATGCTAACTAGTCACTTATTTAGTCATATGTTCTACCTTACAACTAACGATACAGAAACATTAACACTCCATCTAAGTTCTCATCTTCTCTGGTTAATAGATTTTTCAACTGAGAATTGCAAGGACTAACTTCTAGAAGATGTTACTATATAATGTCGTAGTTCTAAAATTACCATCTAACAACAGATAATACAAACCCATTATTAATTATTTTATCAGACATCAACCCGATTAATATAAAATACCAAAATAATTTAAGATAGCGAACTTACTGTGAGTACAGTTTAAATTATTTCTAAAAGTTTGAATTCCTTAGCTTACTTTCAGAGAGGGAAATACATGACCACTTATAACCGAAGCAAGAACTACAAAAAAGTGATTTCCTTTAGATTCTCTGTCAACCATCATCATGGAAATAAACATGTAATAATCCGTTTGAAAACTCACTCAATTCTTGCGCATTTGCTCCTCGACTACGAGGTGTGTTAGATCTCGCTTCACCTAAAAGAAGGTTAATTAGAATTCAAGCACCTGATATTGTGGCGAAACAAATATTAAAACCTTTAAAACTTACTAGGAAACAGTTTTGTAAAAACAGTTAAATAAGTAGAATCTTATTAAAGAGCTTAACAGTAAATTATCTTGTACAGTAACTTGTGACAAACATATAGTGCTAGTTTATCGTACGTACGAACGTAATATCAGAAACATTTTAGGTATCTACATAGCCGTCTTTGCATTTCGTATTTAGGATTTAGAATTTTGTAGCTTGAATATATTGTGTTACAAAATATGAGGCTTGAGACCTAGATTTTGCCAAGCATACAACTTCTATCTTGGCGATATTCGACTATATATGTTGTAGCATTGTTCGAAGTAGATTTCATTAGCATCAATACTGACTGCATACTATAAAATGGATAACTATATGCTTATAGTAACCAGGCTTATCTGATTTTCGCCATATAGGTTTTAATAAACGACTCCTTCCAGTAGCAGATTTCTAGGAACACATCAAAATATCTTATTTTTGTAGCCAGTAGAATAGATTTGTATCTAGTGCCAAAATAACTTGCTTATATGCAAAATATGAAATCTACAAGTAAACATGGTTAGAACTTATTTAAAATTTAAACATTTGGAAGACTCCGATTTCACAGGCCAATCAAAGTGTGACAAAACTAAGATTAGGCTGTCAGGCTTATTTCTTGTTCATCCTATCATAGTTTGTATAATATTCACAAGACTTGGAGAATAAACTACTTTATCATGTGAATATTAAAAATGTTGAGATTTCTAGCTGAGATGCGCATAAATTGTGTTTTACGTTCATATACTACAATGGAACATCAGATTTTATCGTAAGTAAATCATTTATTCATTTGAACAGGCTAATAGCTTGATTTTGACTGGCCAACATTATCCATATGAAGTGGGTTTATTCTTGTTAGAAAACTCGCAGTCCACAGTATTTGTTATGCGATTGCGGTACTGAATTGATTATAGTCAACGTTTAATAACGTCAAATGTTAAAATAATTAACGCAAAGTGCTTGTTATCAGATGGAGACATTGGGACAATATATCCGTTTTACAAACAGTATTAGGATACAAAGAGTAAATGTTTAATTTAGAAATCAGAAATTTAAATAAAAATAACTTTTATCTCATATGGCAAACTTTAAAATGTTTGCGCTTACGTTGAATTCGTTGGATAGATGAACGTAGAGCTTCTGGACCACTAACACCTCGTACACGACCAGATGCTCGAGCTTGTTTCAGTTGTTCCGTGAACCATACTCCAAGTTTACATTTGTGCAGACTGTAAACAAAACGTTGAAAGTAATTATTTTTGATCTTGTTGAGTTGTAAATTCTCAAGCTTTTACAATATTTATCAGAGCTGATTGCAAAAGTAGTTTTATTTTTGGTAACCTGAACTGATGTAATATTATTACTGTTAAATAAACAAACTACAGTAGTTAACATCATTCTCCAGAGTGTTTTACGCAAATTCAGGAACATTTGTACAACAATATCATATTAATCGTCTTTAACTTAAAGGGGAAGCCATTTTAAACTCCTGGAGTTCTAGTGAGACGTGACCAGTGGAGTCCAATCCAAGTCGGACGTGAGACAGTTATCCACCTCAAACAATGGGTGAAGGACTTTTCACGATCATGGATCGATTAGAGTTAGTTATTAATACCATTGGACTCCGGCCCAGTGGTCTACAGGTTAAGCGTTCGCGCGCAAGACAGAAGGTTCTGAGTGTGAATCCCGCGTGCATGACCGTGGACGCGCACTGCTGGGGAGTCCCACATTAGGACAAAACGGTCATCTAGTGCTCCCAGGTTTCTAACGGTGGTCTAGCTAGGATTGACTCGTGATTTCAACTGTGAATATATTCTTATTTTACAAAATAGGGTTCCGAAGAATTTTACTCATAAATTCTATTAACAGAAAGAAAATATTTTAAATTTCATAAACAGTAGTACAATAGACTATTATTACAGAAAAACACTCTGACAGTAACGCACTTGGTAAACGCTGTTAAAACGATACAGCAGGACACTATTGGGACACTTTGTAACGAAAATGCAAGAAAGGATAAATACATCAGAGACGAAGGAATACCTCTGAGCAATATTTTAGTGAAGCCGAACAGTTAGCATGTTCGAAACAATCGTGAATAATGCCTGTGTTCGAAAAAAAAACATTAAAAACTGAAACAAGTCGTATTAGTTACTCGAAAATCTAATTTTTTGTTTTCTACCTTTCGTGAATTTCTACTTATCTTTCATTGATGGCGACAACTACGCCATCCCCCATATAAAACAAAAATGGTGTTGAATGGAGTGTTTATATGACTAAGAGTTCTTAATTCCGAGTACACATGTGAACATATGGGCGATAATCCCTCAGTCATGACTAAATCAGTAATTATTACTATAGTTATTTAAAAGAATTCATTGTTATTGTTAAGTAACCATTCTGCATAAAATAATATTATAGTTTCGTTTGGGAAAATAAATAGGGGTAAACACCTGTTGGTTTAATTTATATTAGAATATCAACTTCAAATAATCCATAAAATTGAGCGACACGTCCACCATCGTCTTCAGTGAGTTACTATCTCACAACAGACCTGGTTGTACTCCACTGGTCACTACTTCTCACTAGAACTCCAGGAAATACCTCTTGAAGCCAGTCACTAGTGAGCATATGTTAATTAATATCAGATGGGTTTTGTGGATATTATAGTAATTTCGATGGTTAAGATCATGAGTGAATCGAAGCTAGATCACCATGGAAAATTTGACTCATGATCTCAACCATTAAAATTACTTTAATATCCATAAAACCCCTTCTGATACTAATCAACAGATGCTCACTAGTGACTGGCTTCGAGAGGTATTTCCTGGAGTTTATAGTGAAAAGCGGTGACCAGTGGAGATCAACCAGGTCTGCTGTGAGATAGTAACTTACTGAAGACAATGGTGGATTAGTTGAAGTTATACATTAACACCATTGGATGCCGGCGCAGTGATCTAGTGGTTCGCGCGCGAAACCAATAGGTCCTGGGTTTGGATCTCGCAGGGAGCGAGTTCGTGGATGCACACTGCTGAGGAGTTCCACAATAGGACGAAATGGCCGTCCAGTGGATCCAGGTTTTTCATAGTGGTCTAGCTTCAACTGACTCATGATCTTAACCATTGAAATTACTATAATATCGACAAAACCCATCTATATTAGAATAGTCAAAAACATACGGAATAAATTCATATAATAATATTAACAATATAATTTTGTGGCGTTCTAATCTTCATAATAATTTTGAATATAAAACCCCAAAGTTATTCAAATATGATCATATTTTTCAGTACTAAACTTTCATTTTGTTCAATATAAGCCAAACATTATGCATCAGTTAGATTTCACAAGTACATACATTTTAGGGAATACGTTAACAATCAAAATGAGTACTAGACTACTATTCTGTCTTTGCTTGAGAATTTTTAAGTGACCATCCATGCTTTCGACATGGATTAAATCCGGGAAGCCGAAACATATAAACTATTTAAGTACTCTAGTGATTTAGAATTCCAAATTCAGTCGATCTTCATTTAATAACACCAGTGATTCCTATCACAGTTAATATCTAATTAGCTTCACTGATCGTGGTTTCGCTCTGCAACTTTTGATATACTCATCTTTAGGCCAGCGACTGGTGGGTGTATAACGAATAATCTGAATATAGGATTATTTGATTTAAATTGATTTAACAAATAGTGCTGTATAGTTACCAATATTAGCAATTCATTTGAATGTAGTTATATGCCTGAACAGACCACAAAAAGTGAAAGATTTCATTTATTATGATAGTGACTGGGAACTTAGATTTGGCATTACATTTAATGTATATTAATCCCTCCGAGGGCTCCTGCCGATCCCAAGCCCGGATAAAGGAGGAGGGTTGGGCATGGGGTTAGCGTCCCCATCCCGTAGAAAACTAACTCGCTAAAAAAACGCTAGCCAGAAAAAATGATTCAAACCTTTCAAACTCTGCCCTGGGAGTCAGAAGGTCTTCATTTAGAAGAACTATGACGCCTCATAATGAAAGCCGAATTCCTTCAGAAGTTACGAGGCCGATGCCCCTTCTGACAACCAGAGCGACCATTTATTTAGGTACATGGAATGTTCGTACAATGTGGGACACCGGAAGAGCCTTCCAAATTGCTGCAGAAATGAGAAGATACAACCTAGAGGTACTTGGGATCAGTGAAACACATTGGACACAAGTTGGACAACAACGACTAATTACAGGAGAGCTCCTGTTATACTCCGGCCATGAAGAAGAAAATGCACCACATACACAAGGAGTTGCATTGATGCTGTCCAAACAAGCACAAAATGCACTTATAGGATGGGAATCTCATGGACCAAGGATCATCAAAGCCTCCTTCAAAACAAAGAAAGAGGGTATTTCAATGAATATCATCCAATGCTAGGCGCCTACCAACGACTACAATGAAGACGCTAAAGATCAATTCTACAATAGGCTGCAGTCAATCGTCGAGAAGTGCCCAACAAAGGACCTGACCATTCTGATGGGAGATTTCAACGCCAAGATTGGAACGGACAACACTGGATATGAAGGCATCATGGGACGACACGGACTGGGAGAAAGGAACGAAAATGGTGAGAGATTCGCAAACCTATGTGCCTTCAATAAACTGGTCATAGGCGGCACCATATTCCCACATAAACGCATACACAAAACCACATGGACTTCACCGGATCACACAACACAAAACCAAATCGACCATCAACAAAACGTTCAGGAGGATGATGTAAGACGTGAGAACCAAGAGAGGAGCTGATATAGCATCAGACCATCACTTGCTGGTCGCCAAGATGAAATCGAAACTCAAGAAGTACTGGACAATGGGGCGGACAATATCACAAAAGTTCAATACGGCTTTTCTTCGGGACACTGACAAACTCAACAAATTCAAGATAGTCCTCAGCAATAAGTTCCAGGCCTTTCATGATCTACTCAATGGAGAAGGAACTACTGTGGAGAGCAACTGGAAGGGGATCAAAGAGGCAATCACTTCAACATGTCATGAGGTTCTGGGCCACATGAAGCACAATCACAAGGAATGGATCACTGTTGATACATTGGATAAGATTCAAAAAACGATGAACAAGAAAGCAGCAATCAATACCAGCCAAACAAGAGCAGAAAAAGCCAAGGCACAAGCTGAATACACAGAAGTAAACAAACAAGTAAAGAGGAGCATCAGAACCGACAAACGTAAATATGTGGAGGATTTAGCAACGACGGCGGAAAAGGCTGCAAGAGAAGGAAACATGAGACAATTGTATGACACGACAAAGAAACTCTCTGGAAATCGCCGCAAACCAGGACGACCAGTGGAAAGCAAGGAAGGCAAGGTAATCACCCACATTGAAGAGCAACAAAACATGTGGGTAGAACACTTGAATCGACCAGCGCCACTGAACCCACCCAACATCGAAGAAGCACCCACGGACCTCCCAATCGATGTTGGCCCACCAACAATTGAAGAAATCAGCATGGCCATCAGACAAATCAAAAGTGGCAAAGCAGCAGGACAAGACAACAGTCCAGCAGAGACACTGAAAGCAGACGTAGCGGCAACTGCAAGGATACTCCACATTCTCTTCAATAAGATTTGGGATGAGGAACAAGTACCAACAGACTGGAAAGAAGGACTTCTGATCAAAATACCGAAGACAGGCGATCTCAGCAACTGTGATAACTACAGGGGCATCACTCTTCTCTCAATACCGGGAAGAGTCTTCAACAGGGTATTGTTAAACAGGATGAAGGACTGAGTAGACGCCCAACTTCGTGACCAACAGGCAGAATTCCGTAAGGATAGATCGTGTACAGACCAAATCGCAACTCTACGGATCATTGTGGAACAATCATTTGAATGGTGTCAGGTAAAGTTGCTTACTCTCACCCTTTCTCTTTCTCCAGGTGATCGACTGAATCATGAAAACGTCAACGTCTGAAGGGAAGCGCGAGATACAATGGACATCTAAGATGCAGTTGGATGATCTAGACTTCGCAGACGATCTGGCCCTTCTATCCCAAACGCAACAACAAATGCAGAAGAAGACGAACAGTGTGACAGCAGCTTCAGCAGCAATAGGTCTCAATATACACAAAGGGAAAAGCAGGATTCTCCGATACAACACAGAATGCACCAATCCAATCACAATTGACGGAGACGATTTGGAAGATGTAAAAACCTTTACATGTCTGGGC